TTTGACCTTTCTAAAATTCCATATAATGTCACTCATCACGTTGACAGTAACATCCATCTCATCACTCTATATCATAAATCCATCTATTTCTTCATAACTCTCTAATTACCTTATAACCATACCAAACTTGTATTTCGTCATCATTTGACCAAAACACAACTTTAAATCTTCTTCAATTGTGATTAAACATATACTTTAAGGAGTCAAACAATATTTTCACATCACCTTGCACACTTTTCGTGTTTCTATATCGAACTTATCATTTACACTTCCATACGAATCCTCACTTCATTCACTATATCACATTTACGTAATCAAAATATACAACTATATCCAATACAATTTCATCACAAAATCTTGTTAGTCAACGCTAACTCTTTCATTCTAAAGTACAAATCCTTATCATCTCCACACTCTTTCTTATACACAATACTATCCCTTTGTTTCAAATTCATAACTCTGATTTCATTCATATAATGTTACTTATCATGTAGACAGTAACATCTATTCTTATCACTCAAAATCAAAAATCAATCAATTGATTTCTTTCCTCATTTTCTAATTAATTCACCACAATCCAAACTTTTACTCATTCTTTCATCCTTGTTTGTATTACGATACACATAATCTCTTCATATAACCTTACATACTTTTTTTACTTCTAATCAAACTTATAATATGCACTTCCTTATAATCCTTTATCATTTTTAATCCTTTCATTATCAAAATCTTCTTATAACATAACTAAACTATATCTTTTCATAACTTTCATAATCAACTTTACTTGTGCAGAACCTCATTCTTATCATCTATTGTACTTGTATTTCCTTCAAACATACAAATCTTTATCTTCTTCACCACAACACCTTACTATGATCAAACTATACAACTGTATCCAAATCCTCTACATATTTGGTTATCATAACCGGTCAATATATTATAATTCCATTACATTTTCATCACGTACTATTGTTAGCCAATGCTAACTCTTTCCATCTAGAATGCAAACTCTTTTACAAACAATAACCGCATCACTTGATTTTTTTAATATCCTTATGGTGACACTCGTTCACCATATTCCATCTTATCCACATAATAACAAACTTCTCAATTTAATTTCTCCACTATGGAGAAATGAACATCTTCTAGCATTATCTTCATATCATTTATCCAAAGGTCTGTAACAACAGAGCCTTCCTCAAATTCACCCTTGAGATCGGGTGCTCATAACTCTTTTAACTATTTCGATACATTCATTCTATGAGTTAACGAAGTATACAATTAAAAACACATCGGAATATCATTCAACATCATGAATCATTCTCTAATCTTATACAGACATTCCCTGAGGTTTTCGCTCTTCTCCCTGCCTGGCCAGGGCAGGTGAATGCTATTACCTTCAGGTCTATCGTCTTGTATTTCACTTTGGAAACTCTCATATTTTCATATGCTCATATCATTTCTTTTATCAGATATCACGTGTGTATATGCTCATCCAATTCATATTGTATAACATATGTCAATTGCATATGTTCACATATCATCCATCATATCATATAAACATATATATAAATTTCATAAATCATTCTCTGGTATTCACATATTGTATTTAACATAATAATTTAACTCTATTAACAAGACAACACACTCCTTACCTTATCAGATCAGAAAATTTTTCACTTTGTGTTAGCATGTACACTTTTTAAAACACTTTCGACTTCGTTTTTAGCTTAGAATCGGCTAAACCGTAGCTCTGATACCATTAAATGTAACACCCCCAACCCGTATCCGACCCGGATACGAGTCCGAAGTGTCACATTGACTTTTCAAAACAATCATTCGTATAAAATAGTGAGTAATTTAAAAAAAATTATAACATTTAACCTATTCAAAACGTTTAAAAAAATATATCAGAGTTCATACAATTTATATCTTTAGACTACATGCCAACTACACTCTATATACAGTACATATATTTTCTGATCTGACATTTGGTAAGGAGAACTGACCTGTCTTGCTCCGCATTACTCTTTACTCTTCTCGAAACCTACGTGTGAAACAATCACACGCTAAGTCGTTGACTTAGTGAGGCATATAAAACATAATAATAATGCATTTCTCATAAATATAAACATTCAATCTATGAATTCAATCGGGTCGCATATAATTCAATATACATGATAACATAAGATAATACAAGTACTTTTAATACCTTTTTATCGTATAAGTATATATAACGAACATTTCTCTACATACCATGGAACAAATATACTACTTCACAACAAAACATACATAGTAGCAAATCAATTTATTTATTTACTCTCTGTAAAGACCATGTATTAGCCCATGTATACTTTTGAGAACTTAAGGTATGTGAGTACATTGAGGTTGTGCACACATATGCTGTCACCACAGCTCGATCAATGTCCCGAAGGACCAGTCCATAGATTCCGAAGAACCTAGGTAATCAGTCCATATGTCCCGAAGAACATAGGTAAACAGTCCATATGTCCCGAAGAACATAGGTAAACAGTCGATATGTCCCGAAGAACATAGGTAAACAGTCCATATGTCCCGAAGAACATAGGTAAACCCTCGACCCTTGGCATGCCAACTATACCCCTAGCTCTCCTATCACATAACATGGGCATTATCATTTATAACAGTTCACATTACTTATTCATATTATTTCTCTTATAAACACATATCTTTTCTTTTCAGTCACATATCACATGTACGTGTAATCATTGATCTCATAATCACATGTTCCTTCTCTTCTATCACATACCACATGTATGTGTAAACATATATCTAATATCATATGTTGCATGTAATCACATAGATCGTATCATATAGCTTCTTTCACATATACATGTAATCACTTAGTCTATTTTCATGTAATTCTTTTCACTTCTCATATGATTTTATATTCATATCTCACATAGCTCATATCACCTTGCATTGTTTCATATAAACATAGATGTCATATCTTGTTCGCATATATTTTCTATATAACTCAAATATCTCATAGTTCTTTCACATAGCTCACTATCATATTTTCATATCATATATCTTATAATAGATCCTTATATCATCATTTGTTTCCTTTCTACCTATTCATAATCACATAACATATACAAAGCATATCATTATCTTTAGTCATGCATACATACAATCAATGTAATACAGATAATCACATATAATTATAACAACACATACTCATGTCCATGACTTCATGCATATTACTCTAGGAAATAGACTCATCGTAAGTCTTATTTCTATTAAACACTACATATCACTAGTATGCACTCACCTCAGCCTTGCTTTGATTCGATTATAATCCTTTGATTATTCTGGAACTTGTTTAGGCTCAATATCTATATAAATATATCATTTCAAGACAACTATCAGAAGCCTAAACTTTAAACTGATGTTAATAACTTAAACCGGTTTAATGAATCAAATTCTATATTTTTATTTAGGGGGAATCGATACCCCCCAGGGGAATCGATACCCCCTGAACATACTGAAATTTTTCGTTCAAGAGGGGAATCGATTCCCATTTATAGGGTATCGGTTCCCTCTACCCAGAAATTGTATTTTAAGCTCAAAAATCATCAATTTTCCTTCAATTCTTCTATTTTAAACCCCTACCATGTCATTAAACTCAACTACCATTACTTAAACTAACTTATATCCATGAAAATCATCTATAACTTCAAAATCCTATCCTTCATATGAAATTCAAGAATCATACTCAATTTTCCATATGTTCTAAATACAATTCTAACACTTCTATCTTCTTATTGTCATAGATGACAAGTCAAATTCAACTTAAAATTCAACTTATCAACTCTATTCCATGATTTCATATAAAAACTCGTTTTCTTAAATCTCTTATAACTTCTTCATCTTTTGATTTTAAGATAACTTAAGCTTTCCTTAAGCTTAGTTATCCTCTAAGGATCAAAACTCATGCTTAAAATCAACAAACAATCAAGAAATTAGAGAACTCACTTTTGCTTGCTTGGCTCTTTCTTTCTCTCGTACTTATATATATCCTTATCATATTTATTTTTAATTCATTTATTAGTTAAATGACTATTTTGTCCTCTACTTCATTTGATAATTACTAACAATTTTTAGGATTTATTTCCAAATAAATCATTGAACTAATCCATTCTTCTACTTTAATCACCAAATTCTAAAACTTTACCATTTAGTCACTAACCCATAGTTTGGGATGTTACAGTTTTTCTCTCTATTTTTTCTGTTTGATTTTTTCTCTGTTTTTCTTTTCGAATTGATTTTTCTCTCTTTTCTCTCTTTTTTTTATGGTTTGAATTTTCTGGGATTTTTTTCTCCCCAAATGCTTCCCCCCTCTGAAATCTTCTCTCCTCGTTGCGTGTATGATTTAATGGTAGAAATCAATAGAGTTTTTTTTTTTTTATAGAAATTGATTTTCTTATGTTTAGGCTTTGACATTTTTGGCAAGTTCTTGGATTTGGTGATATCATTTGACATTGATTTGGTTGATTGATTATTTATGTCATTGTTTGGTACGGCTCGATGACGACGACCACTCGAGAAGCAATCGACCGAGGCTCACGCAATTAAGGAGTAGGGTGGTGAGGTGCACGCGCCGGCTGGGAGCTGAAAGGTCAGGCTGCATCAGTTGCTGATATTTTTAGGGTTTAAAACCCTAACCCTTGGGCAATCTGGACTGTTGGATGGATCTAAATTCAAGGGATGAGATTTGGGGCGGCTGGCAGCTAAGGTGGGAACCCTAACGGGTCGGGTTCTCTTGTTGGGCTTGGACGGGTCGGATCGAGTGGTTTCGAGTTGGGCTGGTACTCTTATAGTGGGCTAGCAATTAGATGAGATTTGGGTTGATGTTATTGGGCTTGCTTGTAATCTGAACGTGCAATCAAAATGTAAAATATGTATTAATAAAATAATAATTATTATTATTATAAAAAGACCCGAACAAAAACAGGTATCTACAATATCTCTTTGACCGACTCGGAGCCATCGAATATCATATCACACAGCCTCTTTTCTCCATACAAAAGAACCCTGACAGTAAGCTTAACAGCTTGAATCCATTTCTTCAACTTTTCATCCAATGATTTCCACTCAATCTTTTGAACTTCCTCGATACTCAATTTCTCAACTCCAAGAATTAGCAAACACTCATTCAAAGCATCCTGCCTAACGTTACAATAAGCTTGAACACACTCTTTCTCATACCCAAACCGGATCATCCGGTCCGCAATCTCTTTCAACTCAATGACAGCATGAGTTTATCAAATCCACGCCTAAATCATCTCCCAAGCTTGCTCCTCGTTCGTGAAAGCAGTCTATCTCACTACCGACCTGTGCGAAGCTCTCGAATTCTTCATCAATTTCCACTTCATTCACTGCAAAAGAAAGGGACACCTTTCGGATCGAACCGTAAAGCCTCTCCGCGTCAAGCGGCACTGAGTTCCTACTCAGAATAAGCCGAAACTCATCCTCCAGCCTCAACATGGCCATCTGAAGGGATGTCTCCGCCCGGCATCATTTCGTTATTGGACCGAACAGAGATGTTGACAACCAATTTAAGGATCTCGTCAATCGCAGAGAGGAACTCGGCGGTTTCATCAGGAGAGTCCTCCCAACGAAGAGAGTAGCAGGAAGCGTCGGGGTTCCACCGAAACATCACTTTCTCGGCAGCGTCAAAACGAACGCCGGTACTGTCGTAGTCGCTAATCAAACCGGAGATGTTCGACAAGCTGTTATCGAAACTCGAGAAAATTGAGAGCATGTCTTCACGGACCTCTTTAGGAGTGTTGAGACTGTTAACGATCTGCTGAACCGTTGCCATGACCCGGTCCTCACCACCCGGTCCAAGGCTCGTGGCGGTGGTAGTCGTCGGCTCCATTACTCCGGTTGTTTCAAAGAGTTGGTAATGATTTGCGCTTCAGAATTGTGGTAAAGCGAAATCGCCGGGCACGGTGGTTGGTTAAAGGGGACGAAAGATGAAGTGATGTCGGAGTAAGCAAATTCCAAATGAAAATGGAATTTCTGTACAGTTAATCTCTCTAGTTTTGGGTTCTCAACCTCTGCGTTTAGGCCACTTGGCGCCTTCCATTGGAACTTCAATATCTCGAACGTGTGATCTTTAATTGTCTGCTCTGTGATTGCGGCTAAATTAACTTGAAAACAACTCAAACAAAAATACTTAAATTCTCAACAGATACAATAAAATTAATATTCTTTGAAAAATATTATTATTTTAAGACTAAAGTATAAAGTATAGGAAATGTTTTTTTAATATTAATTAAATTAATTAAATTATTTTATTATATTTTATTCCTAAATGTAATATAAAAATAGAAATTTTTTAATTGATGTTAAAATATTAAAATCTTTTATATGTACCAATACATATTAATATGAATTAAAATAGACTGAAATATATTGATACTTTGTTTTAGACTATTATATAATGTTTAAGAATGATATAATTGCACGAACCAAGTGATTTCCGTGGTAATATAATAATTATTATTCTTTAAGGATTTGAGTTCAAGCATCATAGATACTAGAGATGCGAGCCTTTAATATTAAAAGGTTGAGAATTATTTATACCCCATCTAAAAAAAAGAAATGATATAATTGTCACGGTTTGGTAGTGGTGTGCCCGTCTCAGGAAGAGCATGAGATCCGAATTCGATGAGTTCCAATAAGATCAATTTTTTTTAATTCGGGTTCGAGTAGAGTAGGGTCGATTTTAAGAGAGAGGCTACCGGGTTTGGGTTAGGCATGAAAAATATTTGATCTAACTCATCCGAATATATTTATACATTTTTAATATATTTACAAATCTCTCTCTCTCTCTCTCTCTCTCTCTCTATATATATATATATATATATATATATATATATATTAGGGTTTCTTTTCTTCTTCTTCTCATTTTCATTTATTTTCTCTCTTTTTTTTTCTTTATTTGCTTTCTCTAATATTTGTCTTAGGGGCTGTTTGTTTACTTCATAATGATTAAGTGCTGAATGATTCAAATGTTGAATGATTTAGAGGCTCTGGATGAATTAGCTCTGAATGTGACATGATGTTTGTTTACTAGCTCTGAATAATTTAGAATGTACTTCTGTGCTGAATCATTCAATACTGAATCATTCAAAGGTGCGAAGCAAACGCGCTGAATGCTGAACCGTTCAGTATTCAGCGCTGAATGGTTCTATTAAGAGGTAAACAAACAACCCCTTAGTTCTTTTACCTTCTTTTTGCTATGTGTGTGTGTTTCTCTTCTATTTTATCTCTTAGTTTTCATCTTCCATTGTTCTTTTATTTCTTCTAATTTTTAACTATTATTTTATTGAATATGAAATTGTAAAACTTTGAAACTAAAATCTTGAACCTCAAATTCAAATATGTTGATTCAATTGAAAGTGTAAAATCTAAGCAAGTTATGGATTCAAACAACATAATGTATTTTTTTTTAATAAAAATCATTTTCTGTTATTTTTTTTTTATTTAAATCTGAATCGATAAATGTTTTGGAATGAGTTTTGAAACATGAATTTCTAATGGCTTGAATATGTTGGATTTTTTTGTTTATTTTTCATTTTAAATGAACCCTAATTTCTGGATTGAATCTTGTTTTTTTGTTGTTGTTGTTTATTCTTCATTTTGAATGAAATCTATAAACCCTAATTTATGGATTAAATCGATTGGTGTAGAGGTAGTTCTTGAATATGCATCAGTCGGGTTGGATTTTACCTAAAAATTGGGTCGGGTTCGGGTCAATTTTAATTTTTCTAAAGTTGGGTCGGGTCAGATTTCGGATGAAAGATTAAATTAATTGGGTTGGAGTCGGGGGTGGTCAAAAATCCGACCCGACCTATACCCACCCCTAACCCTATCATCCCTCTTTGGATCATCGTAATGCTGAAGCAGTTGTGATTACTTATGAGAATTATATAATAGTCTATTTGCAACATCTTCATGTCTATATAAAGTGTCAACAATAACAACAACAAAACTCTATTCCCATATACAATGGGGTAAGGGGGAGGTAGGGTAGTAAGCTGCTCCCAACGCCAGGTTGAGAGCAGCTTCCGTGGAAGACTTCCGACAGTCAGAAAATTACAAATAAAGATAAAATGCAATGCATGAATAAATAAATAAATACATAGTTGAAACAATCTTCAGATGCAGTGTACATATGTGCGTCTGTAATGAGAAGTAATTCCTGCAAATAAATCCTTGCGTAAAAAGCTCTACATATTGACAAAAACGTAAGATCCAACTAAAATTAAAAAGAGGAAACAAGAAGAGAAAAATACACAGAAGTCAACAATAGCAAGCAACGAGAAGGAAATAAGGGCAAATGGGTTAAAACCTAAACTATGACAACACTTCTCCGCTACCCTAGTTCTAAGCCTTCATAAATTCCAATGACAGAAACGATAGAGTACTCCAAGATTAAGCTTAAACTCGATCGAGACAGCGAAAAAGGAAAAGAGTACTCCAAGATTTTATTCAACGACGCATAAACAACGGTAATTACAATCTCAGTACAAACTGTGGCCGAAACAAAAAACCTACTAAAGCATAACACAGATCCGAGAATGATGGACTTAATTGATACAAAACAGAGATGGATTTACACAACAATCCAAAGACAACACCCATCTGGTGAAGGACAGAAGTAGCCCAAGGGTGGAAAGAGTATACTCCCAAGGAAGCCGAATTATATATGGCTTCCAAAAATTCCAAATCCAATGGAGCAAGAACATGATAGGTGACATTCAATTCACAATCCTGGACTAGCATTTTAGATACTACATTGCTACATTTTGAAGAAGGTTGTTCCAAGGATCTTACAAAACTATACAAGGTCACCAAAATCTTCAGACCAATAGAGTTCTGCAAAACGTGGTTTACAACCAAGGAAAAATTATCCAAAACAAAATGATTTCTTTCGAGAAGACAGTGGACCAATGAAGTTGACGGTGAAAGAAGAAATTCGAACTCCTGCACTTCCAAATTAATCAAATTTTGTTGATCAACCAAGGACATCAAAAGGCAAACACCCAATGCAGCCAGATACACACAACAGAGACGAGTGAACGAAAACAACCTCTTCAAAGCGCTTCGATAGAAACGAAATAGCCCAGCTGGTGCACAATCCAAACGAGAAACACATCTCATCTTTTAGATTGATCAGATCGACCCTACACGTATACACGCTCGCAAGCACTTTGAGCATCCACGCAGCAGTAACAAGAGCTAAAAGCAGGATACTACATAAACTTAACGAAAGAACAGAAACTGATGCCCACCAAACCATAAAAAAGAAGAAGCAGAAAGATCACCAACTATTCTCAAGAAACAACAACCACTACCAACGAGCACCAAAGGAGGAGAGAGCCAAAGAAGGGTATCATAAATTTTTAAAAACAAAACCAATCAATACCAGAGAAGGGGCCGCAATTTCATAAAAGCAAATGTAAGTTCTTGAACCCATTTCATATTTCATTTTCGTTCTAAATCCATCCAGCAACATCTTTTTTATTGAATCAAAGTCTTGTGATTCTTTTTAGCTAGACTAAAAGGTGCAAGTTTCATCCAAATCACCAAGAAAAGTAGTCTGGTTAAGCAAGGAGCTTCATTTCAGGATCCTATTGCCAATGTAGCATATTTCTAATCCTTTGGAGTATTAAGATTATCATAAGTAAGAAAATTTACTATGATTTGAGTATTTAAGCATTTTAGGGTGTTACATAATCCTTACAAAAAGGATAAGGAAGGTGATTAGAAGATATAATACTTCTAAAAATAGTTCAGACTTGGACTATAATATACTAAGAATCAGACGCCACATAAAAAATTGAAACTTTGGAGGGTGAAAACTTGAGCCAAACAACCTTCCAAACGTTGTCGACGATCGAATCTGTCGCAACAATTGTTTCGTAACATTTTTTCGACTTATAGTTCCCGTCCACGCTAAACTTCCAGGTGAGTTTGTCTTGGGTAGAGCTCTTAACTGAAAAATGATTCAACAACTCAATGAAACTGTCCCATATATTTTTCCCCCAATCAAATAGACACCTCCTTAAATGTATCGACCACTTCTGCACACCACTCGAGACAACCCCGAACTCACTGACTGTACCATCTCTCTTTATAGCCAAATTCAAAATACGGGGTAAAGATCTTTAAGAGAAGAATCTCCTGCCAAAAATCGATAAGTTTACCGTCACCCAATATAAGACGAAGGTTGTTTGTAAAAGTATCATCATCTCATAGAAGTGGTTTCGAAATCGACTTCCACACCCATGACATTCGTTTACCCATCACGGTTTTCGACAGTAACGACGATAGAGATTGGTTATTCTTAACACATATGACTTTCCTCCAGAGGCTATCCAGTTCAGAACCAAAGCATCAGATCCATATATAGAGGAGAGCTCAATTCTTTACCTTCAAGTCGATAAGGCCTAATCAGTCAGCCGACACTGGTTTACACAACACTTCCCACTTGGCCCAATGAACATTTCTATCAACCTTACCCAGATGAATTTCGTAATCATCCTGTTCAAGGTGGAACTGATAGGGGCAGGCATCTAGAACAGGGATAGAAAGTATACAAGCAAATTATTCAAGATGGGCTTTACCAAAGTCAACCTTATGCCAGAAGACAAAGTGCTGCATTTCCAGTTTGCAACTCTATTCGAGAACTTATCAACTACCAGTTTCTAGAGGGTTTTATTATTGACTTTCGCGCCTAAAGGCAAGCTCATATAGTTAGATGGAGAGGACCCCCATGCAATATCCAATCAAATCAGATACAGAATTCAAGGCCTCATCCGAGATGTTTACACAAAAAAGATTTGTCTTTTTTAGATTCAATTGCAA